GGGGGCCGGGGAGGGCGCGGGGACCCCGCCTGAGCCGCCGCTCCGCGTCTCGCCCCGGCCAGGGGCCTCCGGATGGAAACCAGCATTCTGCGGCGCCCGAGAAGGTCGGCTGGGTCCGGAAATTCTGCGGGAAAGGGATTTTCAGGGAGATTTGGAAAAACCGCTATGTGGTGCTGAAAGGCGACCAGCTCTACGTCTCCGAGAAGGAGGTAGGTGGGCGCCCTTGCCCGAGCCGTCCGGACCCGGTCCCCGCTCGCCCCGCCTCCCTCTCTGCAAGTTCAGGGGTCGCCAAAGTCCTGCGTCTGCAGAGAAAAGTCCCCCCCGAGTGACTTTCCCCGAGTGGGAATTCGGAGTTTACTTATCTATGCGCCTTCGCGGACGCCGTGCTCAGAAGTTCTGACCGTCCGCTGCCTCTTACCCTATTCCTGGCCCCCCGAAACACGGGGTTTTTTTCTGTTGGAACGCACTGGTCACCTTGTCCCTCGCCCCTCCTGCCACCCCAGCCCACCACCCTTTCCATTCCTGTCTGTAGCAGGGGGCATATGTAGGTCTCCTGAGAAGCAGGGCACCCCAAATCATAGAAAACACACACTGGAGTCCGTCCCTGGGACCTGGCGTGGAGTAGCTGGGAATGCCAGATTTTTGTAGGAGCCGGCGTCCTGAACCAGGCCTGTTCCTCACCTTCCACTTCACTTAAAGAGAAAAAGAAGGGGGGGGGGACACAAACAAACAACGAAGAACTCATATTCTGTCCAGCTTTGTTTGTAGAGTCGGGGAATGGAGTTGGGACTGTGAGTGCCCGTGCGAGCGCGTGTGGCTTTGACTCTGTCGCTGAGCATGAAACCACAGCCCACACTGGGTCAGAATCTAAAGCCGGGTCCTGGAATCCGGACCCCTTCCCCCTTTTGTAAAGCCCTGACTCTTGAATCACTAACAGGGATGCCGAGAAGCCCAGCTTGCTTCCCGGGGACTTTCTACAGAGCACGCTGGACTGTGTCCCCTTAGACGGGCCCTTCCCCCAGACAGACCGGGAAGTCCTCCTCAGTTCTAACCTCTTCTGCTTTCGGTACTAGACACTTGCGTTCTGCCGCTCTCTTGGGGTAAGGAGAGCCTTTTATGGTGTTGAAGCAGACGCCCTGGCAGCCCGAGAGAAGTACTCATCTGAAAACTGTACTGAGACAAGCCGAGAACTGAGTAGTGCAGAGCCGGTGAGGGCCCCCTGGAAGGGGCCCAGACATAACGGCGGGGGAGGCTTAGGAGCCAGCTGAGGGGAGACTGGGGAGACTCTGCTTTGAAGGGTCGCTGCTACCCAGTCAGTCCCACCTCCTACAGGGAGTTCTCGCCACAATTTTCTTGCTTTCTACTTCTGTTTATTTAAAAAAGCAGCAGCAAGTGTCACGGTGTCTCCCGTCTTCCCTGAGCTTCATAATGCCAGGAAACAGCGTGAGCAATCAGGAAGGGCTTGCTACATGTCGGGGGAACCAAGGACAGTGAAAGGCTAAGCAAACTAAACAAACCCCCTCCCTTTTCTTGGCTTGTATTTGTCCGAAAGGCAGAACCTGGGGACAGAAGTGCATGGTTAATTGGTTAATAAACCTGTGTGTGAAGGGGGGATGCAGAGCAGAGCAGAGAGGAGAGGATGACCTCAGCCTCGAGTGTCTGCGGTCCTCTGAGTCAGGAGCATCTGCTCGGCCCTGGGGCCAGATGCCCCCGACTGGGAAGGGCATCGGGGAAAAGGGACCTTAATCCAACCATCCGTGGTCAGCAGGCTGGGCGAAGCTGCCAAAAGACACGGTGTGTTCTACCCGGAAAGAAAAGCTACAGCAAACCACTAGATTGAAGGTGTAAGCACCAAAAGCATCGAATATTTGCAATTTACGTGGTGATGGGAAAGAGAAAACGTCCCTAACCATTCCATAGTTTCTGTCGATCGATAGTCCTTGGGAAAGCAGGGTCTCCCACAACTTCCTCCACTAGAGAAGCCCTTCCATGTGTGTTGTGGATCATTCCCCACTCTCCAAGGGCACCCTCTAAGAGGGCCGGGGTGTCTTCCGGTCAAGGGTCAGATAGAGGAACAGATCCACACCGTCAAGTGACTTCATGATAGAGGAAGTTGGGTGGAAAGCGACGCTGAGGACGTCTGAGGACCACGAGAAGAAGGAAGATGTAGTCAGAAATGAGACTTGGGGGATTTGGTGTGAGGAAGAGACAGAATACAGTAGGGAACAATGTGCCGGGGGTGTCCGTCTCTTCTGGGCACTGGCATTTACTTATTCCACCTCCTCCCTCACCCAATCTCCTCCCCGTGCCCTTCCTAACCTCTGCCAATGCCTCCTGCTCCCAGAGTGCCTTATCAGCCACGTCCCAGCCAGGAGAGCTCCCTCCCTTCCCTTGGGAAACAGAACAAGTGAGTCGTGTGTGTGTCTCCCCTCCCCTCCCCGGCTGCACACACCCAGCTCTTTCCTCTCCAAGCTTTCTGGTCCCTGCTGATAGTCTCTCTGGGGAAGAAGCCAGAGAGGAGGGCCCCACATCCCAGCCAGGGTTCCCGTGAATTGTTCTTGAATGTTCCTTGTGGCAGCTTGTCCGTCCCATGTCCACCATAATGTATAAGGTCACTTCCCAGCCAAAAGCCCAGGAGCCCTAAAACGGGGAGAACCCTAGAGAGCCACGCCTTACCAGACAAATGGAGACGGACGAATGTGCCCTCCGCTCCCCACAGCTCATGTGATCCACAGATCAACTGTAGGCTGGCCGAAGTCTGCCAAGGGAAACATGGGCTCCTTCGACACGTGTGCTCAGTGTCAGCTTTTACCCGGGAAACATGACTGACTCGTTCCTGGCATATTCCCAGCCAAGCAGAAGAGGGTGGCTGGGCTGCTCATCGGGAAGAGTCTCCCATAATGTCCCACTTTAGAAGGGGGAGCAGGTGGGAAGGCGCTCTTGTGAACTGTGGTATTCCCTCAGGCCAGCAGCCCTTTGTTGTTCCAGATGTTGGCCGTCTTTTTCAGCTTCCCCTGGACTGTTAATGGCCACTCGCGTCTTCCTTACCTGGGATGGTGGGATCAGCCCATTCACCATGTCCCTTTAAGGACTTGTAAAGCTATGTCCTTCAGAACCAGAGTGAGGGTCATGGGTAGAGGGAGACTCTGGAGTGGTAGCTTGTAGGGCGAGGGGGTGAAACAGAATCCCACACAAGGACTTGGTTCTTAGCCCCGTCCCTAGATACACACCGTGGGTGGGATGGCTTCCTTTTGCTTCCTTCAGGAACAGAAGCAGAGTAATTTTATCCTGTCACACCCCAAACCTCCCCTAGGTAAAAGATGAGAAAAATATCCAAGAGGTGTTTGACCTGAGTGACTATGAGAAGTGTGAAGAACTCCGGAAATCCAAGAGCAGAAGCAAGAAAAACCACAGCAAGTTCACCCTAGCCCGATGCAGACAGCCGGGTACCACGGTATGTCTGGGGCCTGGCCGGCTGGGCAGGGGCCATCCCTGCAGGATCTCCCTCTGCGAGGCCCAGAATGGCCCCCAGAAGGGTTCTTCCTCTGGCTTTTACTGTTTAACTGGAGAATATTCTGTTCATTCCCTTCCCTCCAGGCAGGCCAGCTGTAAACCTCTTCAGCCATAAAGATATCCCTCTTCCTACTCTACCTCTTCCCTGCTTTATACACACACACACACACACACACACACACACACACACACACACACACACGACCCTACTGTGTATACACACATATTCTCTTGGAAGAAAAATTATGGTCCTTGTGCCCAATGGGTGGTTGAAGTTCAAGGGAACCCAGGGAAGCCATGCTTGTCACATTCTGTGTCTTCGGACATTTGAAGATCGTTAGTACCTAAGCTCTGTCTGCAGCAGCAAGTTCAAATCCAGTGTCCCTCTTAGCTCTTCCTCGATCGTTCCTAAAACAACCTGTGCACTTTGCAGGAACAGACTCTGGGTTTCTTTCAGTCATTCATGATTCCAGGAGCAGAACCGCTCTCTCCAGGAGCTGGGTGTGAGGGAATGAGATTAGAATATCTTTTTTCTTTGGGGGGAGGATTATAACTTATTTGTAAAGCCCTAGCTAAAGCAAGAACGTTCCCCTCACAGGCACCCAACCTGATCTTCCTGGCAGTGAGTCCTGAAGAAAAGGAGTCATGGATCAATGCCCTGAGCTCGGCCATCACCCGAGCTAAGAACCGCATCTTGGATGAGGTCAGGGGCCTGTTGTGTGGAAGGGGATACTAGGGCAGAAAGCGAGCTGTGACTCACTAGAGGAGGAGGGGTGTTTTGTGGGGCCCCTTTAATTCCCCCACTCTACTCTCTGCTTCTTTAAAGGCCGTATGCCCCCCCGCCCCCCCCCCGTCTTCTCTCTGAAGTCTTTTTCTCTGCTCATTGGTCCTCTTCAGCTTCCTGATGCCTGAGCTAGCCTTGGGTCAGCTGTGTCCATAAATCCTTTTGCCTGTGGCCCTGCTCAGGAATAGTTGGTGGGATGGCTTATTTCCCAGTCCAGGCATGTTAGGGTTGCCCAGTTGGGACAGTCCTAAAGAAACCCTGGGACTCACAGCGCATCTCTTCAGGTCACCGTTGAGGAGGACAGCTACCTTGTCCATCCTACCCGAGACAGAGCGAAGATCCAACACTCCCGCCGCCCTCCCACGCGGGGACACCTCATGGCTGTGGTATGTAAAAGTGCAAGAAAGCAAACACTGCCCAGGGGCCAGCTCTGTGTCAGTCCATCTCAGCTGTGAGCAAGCAGGGACATTTGTAGGAGGCCTCCTGATCCCAGGATCAGAGGCTCAGGAGGCCTGCGCACCCTCCATCCCTGCCTCATCCCCCGAATCAAAAGCACTTACTCAGCACCTGCCCTGAGTCAGCCGTCTGTTCTCAGTAACTTCTGAGGAAATGAGAAATACCCCCAGGAAAGTGAAAAACAGAAGTGCTGTGTGCCGTGGTGGCTGCTGCTGTGTGGTGGCTGGCCACCCTGTGAGTGACGGCAAATGCCACCTGCCCCAGAGTAAAGCCTCCGCTGAAGGACATGGTCGTTTCTCGCACTCAGCCATGCTCCTGCTCCTGCTCAGGGAGAGGCTGTCGCCTGCAGGAGGAAGAACCCAGGCCTTGGATTTAGCAGACCCGTGGTCTCTAGAGCAGCCTGGCTGTGAGAAATGGTCAGAACCACACATGCGCAGCAGCATAAAAGTCCTGACCTCCCTTTACTTACCACTGCTAAGTTACAGCATTTGAGAAATAAGAGAGCAATGTCTGTTACCAGGCAAGGATTCAGAGTTCAGACATCAGCGCAGGCTAAGTAAGGTGTGTGGCCAAGAGGGTGTGAGTAGAGCATCCTGCTTCTGTCTGTGTGTATGCTTTACTGTGAATGTGGGGGGCATCCCCTGTGATGCTAGAGTCCGCAGTACAGAAGCAGACCCTTCTCGGGAAGCCTGTGGCAGAGCAGGAGAAGATACGTTACAGAAAAGCAGAAGAAAGGACTTTCAATCATCATCAAAGGATCCAAAATAGCAAAGTGGAGCACTCAGTCGGGAGTGGAGGACTCAGTCGGGAGTGGAGCACTCAGTCGGGAGTGGAGGACTCAGTCGGGAGTGGAGCACTCAGTCGGGAGTGGAGGACTCAGTCAGGGGAGTGGAGGACTCAGTCAGGAGTGGAGTGGAGGACTCAGTCGGGAGTGGAGTGGAGGACTCAGTCAGAGTGGAGTGGAGGACTCAGTCAGGAGTGGAGGACTCAGTTGGGAGTGGAGGACTCAGTCAGGAGTGGAGTGGAGGACTCAGTCGGGGAGTGGAGGACTCAGTCGGGGGTGGAGGACTCAGTCGGGGAGTGGAGGACTCAGTTGGGAGTGGAGGACTCAGTCGGGGAGTGGAGGACTCAGTTGGGAGTGGAGCACTCAGTCGGGAGTGGAGCACTCAGTCGGGAGTGGAGCACTCAGTCGGGAGTGGAGGACTCAGTCGGGGGTGGAGGACTCAGTCGGG